CCAGCGCGTCGGCTCATTCTGGGGTAGCCGCGGCGCTGCAGAGGCTGCCCATCGGACCTCCTTGGGCTGGACCCGCGTGTTGAACCTCAAATTGCAGTTTGATTGTCTTATGTGAGCTGAGAAATCCTCCTCTCCCGGCCGACTCTCTCCAATGGCCTTCTGGATCTCCGCGGCCGCGGGCGCGGCGAAAGCCATGTGGCGCGGCGACGGCGCGACCGTCGAGCGCAAGTTAGCCCCGGACGGGAAAGTCTACTTCTCTTACGCCGACATCGCGTCCGCCGTGTCCTCGGCCGTGCCGCGCGTCAAGGCCTTCGGGCCCGACGTCATCGTGGCCATCGGCGGCGGCGGCTTCATCCCCGCGCGCATGCTCCGGACCGAGTGCGCCGTGCCCATCCTCGCCGTCAGCCTCGAGCTCTACGACGACGCGACGAAGACCGCGCGCGACACGGTCGAGCTCAAGCAGTGGTTCGACGAGGGCAGCGGCTTCGGCACGCTCGTCCGCGGGCGCCGCGTGCTCATCGTCGACGAGGTCGACGACACGCGCACGACGCTCCAGTACGCCGTCGAGGAGCTGCGCCGGCGCAACGCGCCCGCGGCCGTCGCCGTCCTCGTCGTCCACAACAAGCGCAAGCCGAAACGCGGCGCGGTCCCGCAGGACGTCACCTACATCGCCTGCGAGCACGTCGCGGATCATTGGAACTGCTACCCCTGGGACGCCGCGGCCTACGGCCACGCCATCGACGAGCACGAGGCCCTCGCGCGCTCGTGCGCCGGCGAGTCCCGCAAGTTCCCCGGCGCCGCGTTCGCCGTCGTCGGCGCGATCGTCGGCGCGGCCCTCGCGGCGCGCCTTAAGAACTAGCGTCGTTATGCCTCGCGCTCGCCGCTGCGGCCTCGCGGTACACGTCCGCGTGGGCCTCGACGATCGCGCGGTACTCGGGCGACGCCGGGTCGAGGTTCTTCGGGTAGCCGCCGCCCATGGTGACGACGACGGAGGCCCCCTTGCGCAGGAACGCGTCGAGGAGCAACTTGTTGCGCCGCCGGAGGCCGTCGGCCGTGAGGCGGAGCTTGCCGAGGCGGTCGTGCTCCGAGGGGTCGACGCCCGCCTGCAGGAAGACGACGTCGGCGCCGCCGCCGGCGAGCATCTGCACGTAGCTCTTGAGCAGGCGCAGGTACTCGCCGTCGCCCGCGCCCGCGGGGACCTCGACGTCGACGTCGCTCGCGCGCTTCTCGGAGAAGTAGTTGCCGTCGCAGTGCATGGAGAACGTCGTCACGGCGGGCGCGCCCTCGAAGAGCTTCGCGTTGCCGTTGCCCTGGTGCACGTCGACGTCGACGACGAGGATCTTCTCGACGACGTCGCCGTAGTCGCGCAGCAGCACGTTCGCGGCGACGGCGATGTCCGAGAAGACGCAGAAGCCCTCGCCGCGGTCGAAGAACGCGTGGTGCGTGCCGCCGGCGACGTGGCCCGCGACCCGGAGCCCGCCGCCGGCGCGCCGCGCGTCGGCGACGGCGCGCGCGGCGGCGACGGTGCCGCCCGTCGACGAGAGCGCGCGGTTGACGCCCGCGGGGCTCCACGGGAAGCCGATGTTGCGGTTCTCGGCCGCCGTGAGCTTGCCGCCGACGAAGCGCTCGCAATATCCCCGGCAGTGCGTCGTCGTCAGGTCCGTGAGGGACGCGAGCGGCGACGGTTCGAAGGCCGCGGCGACGCCCTCGGCCTGGAGCGCCTCGCGGACGAGGCGGTACTTGGCCATGGGGAAGCGGTGGTTCTCCGGCAGCGGGAATTCCCAGACGTCGTTGTAGTAGAAGACGGGCCGCGTCGCCAGGCCGCGCGCCCGCCGCACGGCCAGCAGCGCGCAGGTTCTACGTAGCATCGCGTTGGGTGAGGCGCGATTGCTGTGCTAGCAGGCTGCTGCACAGGCAGGGCTGCGCGTCTGCAGCACGCGCGCTGAGGATTGCGGCCGTGTGGCACGCGTGCGGCCGTGTGGCACGCGGCTTAAAGAGTAGCGCTGTGACGGCGAGCACGTCACCTTCGCAGGCGCGCGCGAGCCATGCTTGCCCCGAGTCAGCGAGGCTGATGATGAAGAGATGCTGAAGTGCTCACCGCCTCATCAGTTTCATCTCCCGCGCTTGGTGGACAGGCATCCCAGCCCAGCCGCGTCGGCGGGAGCTATGAGCATGCTCTTCTCCGGGTTGCAGCCCGTGCCTCCGGCCATGTACGCCGCGTCGCGCGCCGCGGAGCGGCCCGCGACGGCGCGGAAGAGCGACGATGCACCGCCCTCGACGGCGCGGCAGTCCACCGCGCGGCCGTCGACGGCCGGGACGAAGCGGCCGTCGACGGGCGCGACGGCGCTGCGGCCGACGACGGGCGCCACGAAGCGGCCGTCGACGAGCGGCACGCGGCGGCCGTCGACCGGCGCCACGAAGCGGCCGTCGACCGGCGCGACGGCGCTGCGGCCGTCGACCGCGCTCAGCGAGCGCGCGGCCGAGGAGGTGCCGTCGTGGCGCGCCGCCGTCGACGCCGCGCGCGCGCGGACGCCCGGCCCGCCGGGCGCGGCGGCGATCCCCGAGGAGGACGCGGCGCTCGTGCTCGGCGCGGCCCAGGGCAGCACGAGAGAGCGAAATTCCCAACTTCAAAGGCTCATATCTCGGCCGTTTTCCACTCGTTTCGGCTAAATCTTGGACGAGCGATCATCTCTCGGAACGGCCTCGAAGCGTGGGCGCTTTTCCCGGAACGCGCGCGCGCGGAACACTCATGTTGAATCGACGTTGAATCACCCTCGTGCTGCCCAGGCGCGGCCGCCGCGTACGCGCGCCTCGCGCTCGACGACGAAACCGCCGCGCGCATCGAGGCCATGGCGGAGAAGCCCGCGGCGCCGACGACGAAGCAGAACCACCTCGTGCTGCGCACGCCGTCGCCGCGGCCGCCGACGGGCCGGCCGCGGACCGCGCGGGAGTCGCCGCGGACCGCGCGGAGCGACGCGTCGCCGCGGACGGCGGTCGCGTCGCCGCGGACGGCGGTCGCGTCGCGCGGGCCCGACGACGGGTCGCCGCGGACGGCGGTCGCGACGCGCGGGCCGGCGCGGACCCGGGGCTCGGGCCAGAAGTTCGCGCCGCGCGCGCTCACGAGCGGCGACCGCGACGACCTCGCGCTCTCCGCGGGCGCGCCGCCGACGGCGCAAAAGCCGCTCGCGGCGTCGTCGGACCCGCGGCGGCCGCCGCTGAAGCTCCGGGGCGACGAGACGCCCGTCGTGCCCCCGAGCCGGCGGTCGCGGCCGCCGGCCATGGCGCCGGGCGTCGCGCTGGAGATCCTCGGCGACCGCTGCGTCGTCGACCTCGACGAGCACCTCACGTCGCACGGCGGGCTCCGGGCCATCGACGCGCTCCGCCGCGCGGGCAACGAGAAGCGCATCGGGTCGCAGAAGCACCGGGGCATCCACTCGGGCGTGGACCCGGGCGTGGGCCGGGGCTCCATCCACAGCCCGCCGGTGACGGACTTCTTCGACGGCCGCTTCGCCGCGGACGAGTTCGCGGCCATCCTGCGCTCCGTCGGCCGCCACCTGCCCGACGCGTCCGTGCGCCTCGTCGTCGCGTCGCTGGGCGCCGAGGGCGACGGCACGCACGTGACGATCCGCGAGCTGTCCAACGCCATCAAGCGCGCGCGGCGGAAGCCGCGGCTCCTCCGCTGTTTGGACGACGGCACGGTCCGCGACGCGGCGTTCGTCGTCGGCGCCTACGCGGCGTCGTACCAGCCCCCGAAGCGCCGGCGCGCGGCGTCGCCCCGCGCGGCGGCGCCGGCGGAAAGCTCCGACGGGCGCCTGTCGCGGTCGGACCTCCTGTCGAAGCTCCGCGCGCTGGCCAGGTTCATGCAGAAGCGGCGCTGGCGCGTGCTCGACCTCGTCCGCCAGACCAAGGGCATGGCCAACACGGACGGCTGGCTCGGGCTCAACGAGTTCCAGTTCCTGCTCGTGCAGGCGTCGCTCCAGGCGCGCGTCGAGCTCCCGAAGCGGTCCTTCGTCGTCGAGGCCTTCCGGGCCATGGACGCGGCGGGCCACGGCGCGATCGAGGTCACGGAGATCGACCGCTGGCTCGCGGAGGCGCGCAAGGCGGCGCACCGCGTCGAGATCGACGTCCAGAGCCGCCTCCGCGCCGACGACGACGAGGCCTTCGACCCCTTCTCGCGGCAGCATTCCACCTACGTCCAGGACCACAAGGCCGTCGCCGCGCACGTGCTCCCGGCCGTCCTCCGCCGGCGCCAGCAGAACGCGACGATCGCCAAGGCGACGGACCCGACGCTGCGCGTCGACGCGGAATTCGACGACGACCCGCTGCTGCCCCACCACCGGCGGAGCGACTGGCGCGAGGCGTTCTTCCACGCCATGAAGCCGGCCGCGCCCGCGCCGCCGCCGACCAAGGTCGCGTCGACGGCGCGCACGACGACCGACGAGGACGACGCCGGAGGGGAGGAGGCGTGAGTCCGTTGTAGTGGCGGCGTCGCGGGCGGGTGTGGGGGTGCGCGGCGTCGCGACTTGCGTCGCCGCGGCGTCGAGCAGGCCTTCGAGCTGCACCGCCGTATCGACCGCCGTATCGGCCTCGATTTGGACGCGGTCGATTGGCGCACCGACTTCAGGAAGCTCTGATCAGCTGCAAGCTCTGCTGTTCTGTGTCGCTCTCGCCCCGACCCCACCGACGCCCATGGACCCCACGCTCTTCGAGGACTACGCCCCCGCGGCCCCGGCCAAGCCCCAGCGCGACGACGACGCGCCGGAGCTCGTGCCCTACCTCCACTTCGCCTGGCTGTGCAACGTCCTCGCCGGCGTCGCCGCCCCGCTGGGCGACTCCTACGAGACCTTCGCCGTGGACGGCGACGCGCAGGGCTCGTCGAGCGCCCCCCCGGACGGGCCCGACGACGACCCGCTCGTGCCCTACGGCGCCTTCAAGTTCGTCGCCGAGGCCGTCGGCGCGCTCGACGAGGACGAGCCGTTCGTCTACGGCGCGCCGCCGACGCCCGGCCCGCCGGCGGCCGCGGAGCGCCAGTCCCTCGCGCCCTACCTCGACGGCCTCGACGACGACGCCGAGGCCGCGCTGCTGCCCTTCCCGTTCCTGGCCTTCGCGGCGCTCGCGCACCTGCTCTTCTACGACCGCGAGCTATCGCTGACGGGCGCGTCCTTCTCCTACCCGGGCGTCGAGGTGGCGACGGGCGACGTCGCCGCCGAGCCGCTCTGGAACGTGCTGAACGTGTTCGCCCTGCCGCTCCACGCGGTCCGCTTCGCGCTCGCGCCCCTCAACGGCAGCCGGCGCGGCGCGTCGCTCAAGGACAAGAAGAAGTCCCAGTCGTCCGAGGACCTCGCGAGCCTCGCGGCCCAGAAGTTCTTCGGCGGCGGCAAGAAGCAGAAGTCCCGCACGGTCCGCCTCCGCACCGCGCTCTAGGGGCGCCGCGCCCGTTCCCCCGCGCCGCGCTTCACATAATCCCCGCTCGCGAGCGTCGACCGAGCCGCACAGCCCCGTGGTTAGATGGGCGCGACCGCGGGCGCCGCGCTTCACATAATCCCCGCTCGCGAGCGTCGACCAAGCCGCACAGCCCCTCGGTTAGATGGGCGCGACCGCGGCGATGGGCGCGAGGCGGCCCGCGCGGACGGGGCCCGTCGCGCCGCCGTCCGCGGCCTCGTCGTCGGAGTCCGGCGCCATGGCGGCCGCGGCGGCGTGGGCCGGCCCTTTGTGGACCGCGCGCCACGTCTCCGGGATCTCGGCGTGCACGGTGACGCGGCCATCCGCGTGGAGCGCCATGTGGCGCTGGCAGTGGCGCGCGACGTTCGGCGACTTGGTGATGATGACGATGAGCTTCTTCCGCCGGAGATTGAGGGGCACGTCGTCGCCGCCGAGGTCCGCGAAGCGGAAGCCCCGGTCGTCGACGTAGTCGCGCAGGCACGCCATGACGCTCTCGAGCTTCGGCGGGCTCAGCATGTCGAGCGTCTGGCCGATGTAGAGGAAGTCGCACTGGCTCAGGAGCGCGCGCGCGAGCGCGACGACGGCGACGTCGCTGAGCGGGATGCGGCAGCCGTTCGCGCCGACGTCGAAGCTCGGGTTGCCGATCATGGCCTCGGACATGCCCAGGCGGCGGCAGACGCGCCAGATCGTCATCTCCGAGCACGGCGGGCCCGACAGCCGCAAATTGTACATCAACGTGCCGTCGAACATGAGGGGCTGCGCGGGCACGCGGCACGTGCGGTAGCCCGGGGGCACGTAGACCAGGCCGGACGTCGGCGCGATCTCGCCCGCGAGGAGCTGGAGGAGCGACGACTTGCCGCTGCCCGAGTCGCCGGCCTCCGCGTCGAGGAGGGAGCACATGACGCCCGGGACGATCTTCGCGTGCGTCGGCGCGAGGAGCGTCTTGGACACCATCGCGTCGGCGATCTCGTCGTGGAACTGGAGCTCGAAGGCCGCGTGCTCGAGGAAGATGCAGTCCGGCGGGCCCGCCTCCCCGAAGGACGCCGCGAAGGCGGCGAGCCGCTCCGCGTAGGCCGACGGCCGCGCCTCGTTGCGCTCCCGCGTCGGCGGCTCCGACAGCAGCGACAGCTTCTTCGTGCGCTGCGTCTCCGAGTTGAGCGCGTCCGCGACCTTGCGGAGCGCCGCCAGACCGATCGAGATCTGGCCCAGGTCCGCGGCGATGGACTCGAGCCCCGCGGCGATGCCCTTGAAGGCGTTGAGCAGCACGACGAAGTGCGACAGGTCGATGTTCATGGACACGCGCGCGTACAAGAAGGCGACCATCGCGACGGAGCCCCAGCGGAACGCGTGGCGCGTCTCCTTCTGGTAGCGCGCCGCGAGGAAGGACGCCCGGGACCCCTGCTCGTGCATCGTCGCGTAGAGGTGGCCCAAAGCCCAGCCCCGGGCGTAGTTCGTGATGAGCTGGCGCTTGCTCTCGATCTCCGCCGCGAACGCCGCGAGATTGTCCTCGAGCTCCATGGCCTCGAAGCTCTTCTCGTACTGCGTCGAGAACGTGCACACGTAGACGACCATGAGGTAGCCCACGAGCGCGGCGATGATGGGCAGGAACTCCGCGAGGCCGTTGTAGACGAGCACGGAGACGACGACGAAGAGCTGCGCGAGGAGCACGATCGCGGACTCGTACGTGGCGAGGCACTGCGTGAAGACCTTGTCGACGGCGTCGGCGGCGTCGCGGTCCATGACCTTGGGCAGGTCCCCCGGGTCGTACTTGTCCTGCGCGTCGAAGGACAGCTGGGTCGTCGCCGTCACGAGGCAAATTCGCAAATTCCGCAGCGCGGTGCCCCCGAGCTTGAGCGACTGCTCCCACTTGGCCGCCGCGTGCTCCACGGCGAAGGTCGCCAGGTAGGCCAGGGCCATGGTCCGCAAGATCTTCTTCCGCCGCGGCCGCCCGTAGGGCTCGACGTCGTCGTCGCCCGGGTCCGCGCGCTCCATCGTCGCGAGCACGTTCTCGAGGATCAGCTGGTAGCTCATGAAGCCCAGCGCCGGCACGCACCGCAGCAGGAGCGACAGCGCGATCTTCCGCGGCATCATCGTGTAGATCTCGTACAAGAAGCCGTAGACGACGGACCGGCTGCTCGTCCGCTCGTCGTTCGGGTCGCGGTCGTAGGGGAAGATCTCCGTGTTCAACTTGTAGCACCGAGCCTTCGACGCGTGGCCGATCATGGCGTCGCCCTTGGCGTCGCCGACTTCGACGATGTCCACGAGCTTCACGCGGAACATCGTCTCGGAGTTGTACGTCGGGTCGTCGGGGAACCGGCACGTGATGGTCTTGCGCGTGTCCCCGGGGTCGAAGCGCAGGATGCCCTCGAGGTCCGCGCCGCGGTCCCCGTAGAAGTGCGGGTCCACGGAGCAGTTCTCCGTCCGCCAGCCCACGTCCGCCGCGACGTCCGGGTTCCCGTAGCGCGCGACCTCGAAGACGACGGGCAGGGACGCGTTGCGGCCCTTGGACTCCCACTGGAGCACCTCGAGGTCGACGAACTCGAAGATGGCGTGCGTCTCGTTCGCCAGGGCCTCCGCGGGCCGCCAGTCGTCCTCGAGGCCGACGACGACGCGCGGCCGGTCCGCGGGCGCCGCGGGCCGCGCCGCCGCCGGCGCCCCGGGCTCCGTTGTCGTCGACTTCTTGATGATGGTCGCCCCGTGGGGCTGCACCTTGTACATCTGGTGCATGGTCTGGCGCGCGAGGCCCGCGCCGACCTTGACGAAGCTCACGGGCGGGCCGCGCTTCTTGCCGACGCGCAGGGATTTGAGGTCGTCGTGGTAGAGCTTCACGCGGTTCGTCGCCGTGCGGTGCACCTGCACGGGCATGGTTCCCGCCGGCGCGCCGCCGCCCGGCGGGCGGCGTGTCCAAAAGCGCTAGACGCAGCCCCCCGACAAACCGGCGGGAAGGCTTGTTTTTCAGATTGCCCTTCAAGGTTACTTTTTTTTCCCCTCACGCCCCCTCCGCGGCGACGTCGCGCTTGGGCCGGAGGCGCGACGCGGCGTAGACGGAGCCGTGGTACATGTAGGGGTCCGTGGACTCGCCGCCGAAGAGGAGGAGCACGGAGCGCTGCGGGTCCGTCGGGCTGGGGACGACGGTCAGCGTCGCGTGGAGCCGCGCGTGCGGGGCTCCGTCGGAAGACGCGGCGACGGGCAGGGGCGCGCAGACGCCGAGGCCGGCGTCGCAGAGCACGCCCTCCTTCGGGAGCGTCGCCAGCAGGCCCTCGGCGTCGTTGCCGCCGTAGACGAGGACCTCGGGCCCGTCGCGCGCCATCGCGAAGTCGACGCGCGCGAGCGACGGGTCCGCGGCGACGAGCGTCCACGACGGGCCGCCGGCGCCCACGGCGCAGCGCCAGAGCTCGCCGAAGAGCTGCCGCCGGTCCTCGTCCTCGTCCGTCAAAATCTTCACGCGCTCGCGGCCGCCGCAGACGAGGAAGCCGTCGCCGTCGCCGCCTGGGCAGGACACGAGTGCGAAATTCCCAACTTCAAAGGCTCATATCTCGGCCGATTTCCGCTCGTTTCGGCTGATTGTTGGACGAGCGATCATCTCTCGGAACGGTCTCGAAGCGTGGATGCTTTCTTCGGAACGCGCGCGCGCGGAACACTCACGTTGAAGCGACGTTGAATCACCCTTGTGCTGCCCTGGTCGCCGCAGAGCCGGTGGCCGAACCGCGCGGCCGGCCGCGGCTGCCCGTCCGGCTCGTGCGCCCGCCACCCGCCGGCGTCGAAGCTCCAGAGGTCGCCGAGCGCCTCGAGGCCGTCGGGCGTGCCGGAGTCGTCGCCGCCGAGCCCGCCGAAGACCCAGACCTTGCCGCCCGCCGCGGCCGCGCCGAGCATCTCCCGCTTCCGCGGGCAGTCGTCGCCCTCCGCGTCCGGCGTCAGGCGCTGCCACGTGCGCATGGGCTGCGCCTCCGTCGTCGGCAGGGGCAGGCGCCACAGATCGTTCATCTGCGCGTCCTTGCCAAAGTGGAAGTCCGTTCCGCCGTTGCTCCGGAAGCCGCCGTCCGTGCCGCCGAAGAGGAAGAGGCTCGCGCCGTCGGCGCAGACCGCGCCGTGGAAGCGGCCGCAGGGCGTGTCTTGGCTGTAGAGGGCCCACTTCGTCCAGGTCTTGGACACGACGTCGAAGGCCCAGGTGTCGTCCAGGAAGTGGACGCCCGGCGAGTCCGGTTCGTCCAACTCTAGGTAGTAGCCGTGGGTCACGACCATGGAGCTCCCGAAGGCGACGGCGCCGTGGCCGTAGCGCACGCTCGGCGCGCCCACCCCGCCGCCCTTGGACGCGGGCTGCGGCTTGAGCACGTCCCAGGCGTCCATCGCGGCGCGGCGGCGCTGTGGGCCAGAATCGAGAAAGCCTCGCCGGTAAAAACGAGATCGCCGGCTGCACTATGGCTCGAAGCTTCTACCTCGCCTGCCTGACGCTCGCCGTCGCCGACAGCGCGGCCTTCTCGCCGATGAATTCCTTCGCGGCCTTCAAGGCCAACACGGGGCGCCTCGTCGACGAGCAGAAGGTCGCCAACGCGCACCGCAAGCGGCGCAAGGAGGGCGAGCTGCTCGACTATCCGAGCTTCGACGCCATCCAGTGCGCCAACGCCGACGTGAGCAAGATCATCAACATCGTCTGGCTCGGGCTCTACGCCAAGTTCTGGACGCCGCTGGCCGTCTACTTCTACCCGGGCATGCTGCCGTCGGCGTACGAGAACGCGGGCCTCCGGGGCAAGCGGCTCGCGGAGAAGGAGAAGCAGCGCCGCACGGGGCTCAACCGGCTCCTGGGCAAGATCGACAAGGAGGCGAGCAGTCCCAAGAAGCACCGCAAGCCCTACGACCTCACGGAGCCCGACGTCGCCGCCGCCGTCGCCGCGCTCTCCGCCAAAAACAAGCAGGCGGCCGTCGCGGCCCTGGCCGCGCGGCCCGGCGCGCCGCTGCCCGAGGCGGCGCTCCTCGCGGCGTCCCTGTCCCTCGACGGGCCCTACCGCTTCCTGCCGCGGTGGATGCACAAGGGCGCCGTGAAGAAGGGCGTGACGCTGTTGACCGAGGGCGACGCCGCGCTCCGCATCAGCGACATCGCCGGCCTGCCGGCGCCCTGCCTCGAGAACGCCTGCGTGGCGCGGGGCCTGCTGAAGCCGACCAAGGCCGAGATGGAGCGGGGGCTCGCCGAGTGGCTCCGCGTCGTGGACAAGGCGGACGCGGTCTCCGAGGACGAGGGCAAGCGCGCGCGCCTCGCGCTCCTCGCGGTCAACACGGTCGCGTCCATCCGCGAGGGGGCCGTGGCGAAAGAGCCGGGCGTCGCGCTGCTCTACGCCGGCAAGGGGTTCTAGAGCGGGCTGCGTAAGAGCGTCCATAGTTCTTCGAGTTCGAGTTCGCGGCGGGACCTCGCGGCGCGGCGGTCCGCGGATGCTCCCGCGGGCGGACGTCGTGCGTCGGCATCGTCGCGGAAGGACGAGGGCCGTCGAAGCGGGAGGGGCTCGCCGGCGGCGCCTCCGACGCCTCCCAAAAAAAAACAAAAAAAAAAAGCAACTACGATTGAAGTCTGACACAGCCGGAGTTGACGATTCCTTTTGCAGCTCTCCCAACCGGACCGCACTCCCGAAGACGGCGTATGGCTGCTGCATTCCGGGTCTGAGAGGCCGCAATCACAAATTAAATGCGTCTGATCCTCGTCGCAATCGCCTGCGTCGCGCGCGGCGGCCTCGCCGCGCACCTCGACGCCGCGAATCCGCAGCACTGGAATCGAGACCTGCACGCGTGCACGCCGGAGAGCATGAAACCTGGGAGTGCAACGGCTGCGTGTGCCGCACGACGCTGCTCGGCACGTGCGAGGCGCGCTGCGGCAACGAGACGGCGACCGGCGACGACGGCGGTCCCGCGTGGACGCCCATCTCCTGCGGCTGCTGCGGCGGCGGCGGCGGGACGACGCACCGCCGCCCGTCGAGCGAGGACGCGCGGCGGCGCAAGTGCGTGCTGGTGCTCGTCGGCATCTTCGCGAGCTCCGTCGCCATCTTCCTGGCGGGCCACGCCTGGCACATGCTCCGCAAGAAGGAGCCGCCCGTGGCCCTCGCCGTGACGGCCGAGGAGCTCGAGACGGGCGCGGACGACGCGACCTGGGCGTCCGCGCCCGAGGCCTGCCACATATTCACGCTCGCGACATCCGTCGCCAAGCTCTTCCCCGACAGCGTGGCCCTCACGGTCCAGCACCGGCCCCAGGAAGACGACCGAGCGGCCGCGCGCGAGCCCGAGGCGGCGGCCGACGAGGAGGCGCCCGAGGCGGTGGAGGCGCCCGAAGCGGCGGCCGTCGCGGCGGCGCCCTAGCTGCGCCTCCCCCAACGAAAAATCGAATGTGAAATCCCGACCCCCCCAAGTGAATCAAATGAGTAAGCCATCCTGACTGCCGACGGTCGGAGTTGCGGTCGCGACCCCGCGAGGAGGCGCCGTCCCCCCAGAAGGGATCCCCCACAACCCTCCATCTCTCGAGACGGACTACGCCCTCCTTTGGCGGCGGCCGGAGGGGCCGGGCGCGGCGCCCTAGATGACCGCGGCCTCGTTCTTGAGCTTGTCGACGAGGGTGTCGACGCTGTCGACGGTGATGCCCGCGGCGCGCGCCTCGGGGGACGCGACGGCCTCGACGACGATGGACGGCGCGAGGTCGACGCCGTAGTCCGCCGCGTCCTTGGACTCGAGGGGCTTCTTCTTCGCCTTCATGATGTTCGGCAGCTTCGGGTAGCGCGGCGTGTTGAGCCGCAGGTCCGCCGTGAGCACGGTGGGGAGCTTCACCTTGACGACCTCCGTGCCCGTGTCCGTCTCGCGCTCGACCTCGGCGGTCGCGCCGTCGCCGGCGACGTCGAACTTTGCGGCGAACGTCGCCTGGCTCCAGCCCAGGAGCTCGGCGAGCATGGGGCCCGTCGTGCCGTTGTCGCCGTCGATGGACTGCTTGCCGACGATGACGAGGTCCGGCTGCTCGTCGGCGACGACCTTCGCCAGGAGCCGCGCGACGGCGAGCGGGTTCAGCTCCTGGTCGAGGCGCAGGTCCGTCGCGACGTGGATCGCCCGGTCGCAGCCCATGGCCAGCGCGCTCCGCAGCGTCTCCTGGGCCTGCTTCGGGCCGATGGACACGGCGACGACCTCCGACGCGACCTTCTTCTCCTTGAGCTGGATCGCCTCCTCGCAGGCGATCTCGCAGAAGGGGTTCATGGACATCTTCACGTTGGCCAGCTCGACGCCGCTCTTGTCGCCGGCGACGCGGACGCGCACGGCGTAGTCGATGACGCGCTTCACGCCCACGAGGACCCGCATGGTCGAGCGGCGCGATGCGAGCGAGCGGCTCGAGGCAGAGCACCGCGGAATTCCGGTTCACCGTCGGTGCAGCGTGGCGTCAAGTTAGGCCTCAAGGGCGTCAACTTTGCCCCGACGTCCACGAGTCGCCCGTCGCGGACGACGAAGCGCGGCGCGGGCGCGTCGTCGTCCGGGTCCTCGTCGAGGTCCGCGGCGTCGCCGCCGTCCGGGGCGCCGGACCCGGCCCGCCACGCGGCGCGCCAGGCCCGGTAGGGGACGCCGTCGCCGAGCGTCGCGTCGACGGACGGGTTCGCGAAGAAGACGAGCGACGTCCGCGCGCGCGCGCCGCGGAGGACGCGGTGGCTCGTCGCCTCGCCGCGCGGCGCGGCGGCCGCGAGCGCGGCCCCGAACGTTAGCACCAACCCCGCGCCGTCGGGCGCGTCGACGAAGCCGCGGCCGCGCCGCACCTGGAGCCCGCCGGGCCCGGCGCGCGCGTAGACGAGCGTGACGAGCGACACGTCCGTGTGGGCCGGCACGGCGACGCCGGAGCCAGGAGCGTAGCGGTTCGCGACCAGCACGCTCGTCGGCCGCGCGCACGCGTCCGCGAGCGCGTCGGGCCGCAGCCCCAGGGCCGGCTCCAGCGCCGCGAGCGCGGCGGCGCTCGTCGCCGCGAGGGCCGCGTAGCAGGCCTCGAGCGCGCGCCGAACATTCGGGTCGCGCGGCCACCGGTTCTCCGCCTGCGTGGAACTCAAATCTTCAATCCGACTTCAACGTGAGCGACCGTTTCGACACGTGCTCTTCGGTTGTGCTTCGCGAAGTCGCCGAGAGCAATCGATTCGTCCAAAACTCAGCCGAATCGATGTCGATTTGACCGAGCTAGAGATTTCCACACGGCTCTCCGCAAAGGCCTCCGCGGCGTCCGCCGCCGCCAGGCCCTCCGGCGCCGCGCCGGGCGGCCCGACGCGGAAGCGCTCGACGTCGCCGCGGCGCTCGTAGCCCCGCGCGGCGCCGGCGCAGGCCGCGTCCGGGGCCGCGAAGAAGGCGCCGAGGGCCTCGAGGGCCGCCTCGCAGGCGGGCTCGGCGCCCGTCGGCCGGAGCAGGCAGCAGCCCGCGGCGAGGGCGGCGCGCATCTGCGTCGGCGCATCGCACGCCGCGAGGTCCACGACGGGCAGGGCGGCGGGGCTGCCGAGCATCATCGCAGCCATGCCGCGCAGCCCAGGACGAGGTTTGACGTAGCAGCTCGACATCCTCGACGTCGAGCTTCAGCCGTCTCAATCCAGACGCGCGGCCGGCGCCGGCGCCGCTGCGCCACACATGGAGAAGAGCAGCAACTCGTCGAAGATCGTCGGCGACGCGTTCCGCGGCCCCAGCGGCTACGAGACCGTCGACGAGCAGCCGCTGCCCGAGACGCGCGGCCGCGTGCTGGGCCTGGGCCTGCTCGCGGCCGCCGTGATCCTCTGCGCCGTCGTCTTCGTCGCCGTGCCGTCGCCGTCGAGCGGCGCCGGCGCGAACACGCACGGCCTGGCCATGCGCTGCGTCGACAACTCCGCGCGCGTCGTCCCGCGTCCGAGGACGGTTCGCCCTTCGGCCGCGGCGACCGCGCCGCCGCAGGTGCCTCACGTCGAACCTCGTCGGCGACTGCTGCCCGTCGAGTTCGGGGAAGAACCTCGCCTGCTGCCGGGACGGCACGAACATCGCGACGGTGACGAGGACCGCGAAAGGCGCGTGCGACGACAACAGCGCCTGCGCGGCCCTGTGTGGAAACCAAATCTTCAACCCGACTTCAATGTGCGCGTATGCGACAGTTTCGACGCAATCTCTTCGGCTGTGCTTCGAGAACCCAATGAGAGCAATCGATTCGTCCAAAAATCAGCCGAATCGACTTCGATTTGACCGAGCTCGAGAATTCTCAAGTTTGGTCAGGACCACCCAAACCAGTGGTTGGTTTCCACACAGGCGCGGCCCTCGGCCTCGCGGGCCTCTGCTGCCCCGGCGCGGACGGCGCCTTCCTCGGCTGCTGCGGCGCGGCGAACAACACCGCGCGCAAGCCCCACAGCGTCTCCGCGCGGTGCGCGCTGAACCTCGGCTGCAAAAAGCTCGGGCTCGGCGGCGGCAACTGCTGCCCGACGGACGACGGCACGACGCTGGGCTGCTGCCCGCCCGTCGTGACGCCCAAGCTCGGCCTGCGCGCCTAGGCGGCGCCTAAGCCCCAGAGCGCGCGGGCGTACGCGGGCACGGTGCCCTTGGGGACCTTGCGGAGGAGCAGGTGGCACGGCGACGGCGCGTCGGGCCGGAAGGCGCAGGACGCGCGCGACGTCGCGGAGTCGTTGGCCCAGGGCACGACGGCCGGCGCGCGCCGCCGCAGCTCCACGTCGGGGCCCGCGAGCGGCGCGGCCTCGGGCCCGTAGTCGCAGTACGCGCGCGCGTCCGCGAGGAACGCGGGCGTGATGTGCGCCGGGTCGTAGGACGTCGCGCGCCAGTCGCGCTTCATCTTGCCGTTGATGTCGAGCGCGAGCAGGCGCCGCCGGCCCCCGAAGGCCCCGAAGCGGATCAACGTCGGCGACGCGGCGACGAGCTCCGCCTCGACGCCCTCGTTCGCGAGCACCGTCGCGACGAGGTGCTCGTCGGCGAAGCAGTGGTGGATGCTGTCGGCGTCGGCGCCCCGGTGCTGCTTCGCGAACTCGCGGCGAAACTCCGCGGCGACCGCGCTCGCCGCGTGCGCGGCCTCGAGCGCCTCGTACCAGCCCGTCGACGCGACGAGCGCCGCGTGGGGCCGCGCCAGGCCGACCCACTGGTGGCCCTTGCGCCAGCGCCGCTTCACGGCGGCGTCGCGGGCCCCGAAGTCGTAGAGCCGCGCGCGGTCCTCCGTGGCCCACGACTTCACGAACGACTTCGGAGTAGAAAAAAGAAAGTCGTAGAGGCAGAGGAACGGGTGGAGCGGCACGCAGGACTCGGAGACGAGCAGGAACCGCTCGTTGCGCGGGTCCGCGAGGGCCGCCCGGAGTAAAAAGACCTCGGCCCTCGCGACGGTCACCGCGCCCCAGTCGACGCGCGTCCGGTTCCGAATCTCCGTCCCTCGGAACAGCGAGCCCTCGCCGTAGGCGTGGCCCGGCTCCGGGTGGCTGTAGACGCCGTAGAGGCGCGCGTGCGCCGCCGCCTCGCCGAAGAACGCGGCCCAGACTGGCTCCGTCGGGATCTTCGACCGCGCGAGGAACAGGAACGCGAGCCGACCCGTCCGCGCGGCGCCGCCGCGGAGCCGCGGCGCCTTCGGCGGGCGCCGCAGCGGCCGGAGCGCCGCGTCGTCGTCGAGGCTGAAGAAGCGCGGCGGCGGCGCGGCGAGGCGGCCCAGGGCGACGAGGACGACGACGGCGGCGCAGCAGGCGCCGGCGCCGCGCCGCAGCCGCTGGCGCCGCACGGCGCGCGCCTTGCGCATGGTTAGCGGAAGGGTTTTGTGTTTACGAGCGGGCTAGGAGGCCATCGGCGGCGCTGGCCCAGGCCCATCGTGCAGTGGCAAACAAGGCTCCGCCAACGAGAGCGATGGCGACCGAAGACCACACGGTGGGCGAGGCCTCCCAGACCCCGGCGAAGCGCGCGCGCATCGACACGTCCGGCGCGACGGCGAAGCGCCCCCGCGACGAAGCCACGGCGGACACCCTGGCGCCGGCCGCCGCCGCCATGGCGAGCGCGCTGAATGATCTGAAAACGCAGGCGCCGGCCCTCTTCGCGCTCGTGCGCGAGTTCGAGGCGGAGCTGACGCCGGACGCGGGCGCCGCCGCCTACGAGAGCGAGCGGGCCTACCTCAAGCACGTCGAGCTCGGCGTCTACCTCCGCGCGCTCCGCATCACCGTCGCGTCGAGCTTGCACGACAGCAACTGCCGCGTCGACAAGGCCGCGGGCGGCGACACGCCCCACGGCCGCGCGACGGGCTGGGAGGCGGCGATCGGCGAGGACCGCGTGGGTCTCGGCCGGCGCACGGCGCTGCTCGACGCGCTCATGGACGTCGTCCGCGGCTGGCGGCGCGCGCGCGTCGCCGCTTCCGAGCCGAAGCCGCGGCTCTGGCGCCTCGCGCGCGCCTACGGCCTCGACGAGGGCGCGACGGCGGACCGCATCTTCACGACATTGGTCGTGCTGACCTGCGCCCAGAGCGACGGCGTCCGGGGCGCGCTCATCGAGGACGACCACGCGCGGCGCGCGAATTTGGTCTGCCGCGTCGCGGGCTGCAGCGAGGTCGAGGCCGAGGCCTTCGCGGACAGCGACCACGACTACGTCAAGGAGAACGTGATCTATGTGTCCGACGACCAGGACGCCTACGTGTCGCCGGGGGGCATCCCGCCGCTCCGCGTCGCGCGCGTCACGGCCAAGGTGCTCCTCGGCGACGAGCTGCCGGAGGAGGAGCTGCTCAAGACGTCGGGCACGAAGCTGGAGACCATCCTCAAGGACGAGGGCCTGGAGGTGAGCGTGCTCGACACGCCGTCGTCGCCGCGGTCCGGGCGGAAGGCGCGCGCGTTCTCCGAGGCCGCGGGGCGACGGCGCGGGCGCCGCGGGCCCCATCGCCGGCGCGCTGCGCGCCCTGCTCGACGGCACGCCCGACGACCCGGACCAGAGCCCCGACGAGGAACGCAAGTCGCCCGGCGGCTCCGAGGCCGCGCCGGGGTCGCCGCGGTCCTCCGGCGGCGGCTACCCCGAGGACAACGAGCTCGAGTACCTCGGCGAGTGCTTCGAGCTCGTGGCGCTCCACATCCGCCTCGCCACGGCGAAGATCAAGGGCGCCATCAAGGAGCAGAGCGGCGGCGCGGGCCGCGGCGGCTTCTTCCCGCCGCCCGACGAGGGCAACCGCGCGGGCGCGCGCGAGCTCAAGGCGAAGCTGCGCGTCGCCGAGGCGAAGCTCGGCGCGCGCTGCGCCAAGACGCCGAGGCGGCCGCGGCTGCTGCAGCTCGCGAAGAAGCTGGGTTTGGACGAGTGGGAGACGAAGGTCGTCGCGCTGTTGGTCGGTAGGACGATCTCGCCCGCGATC